ACCATCACCCCATGCTACCGCAGCATTTCAAGGCCTGAGTGGTGAATTCTGTGAGTGCTGAGAGTCCTTTCACAGCAGCATGGACCACTGTGGCTGGGCTGAGGAGAGGTCTGGTGCATCTCTCTGGGTTTCAGCCTGCTTGAGTGTTTTGGTTTGTTACTTTGAGGTTACTTGGACTTTTGGAGGTTTTTTCTGGGCCCATATTTGCCTTGGTTTGGTGTTTGGTTTTAAATCATGCCATGCCCCGGATCTCATTGTGCCTACAGAGGGTTTTGCTTGTGCCCTGGGTTTGAGGCTCTCCAGCAACCATGTTTCTGGCCTCATTCAGCTCAGAGAAGTGACCCAGAGCCTGTGGTTTCTGACCCATCAGTGGTGTGGCCAGTGCTGGCCATGGTGAGAGGACTTGGGCTGATGCTGCCGCATTGCGTCCTCAATGACCCATAGCTCCTTCTTGTCTGGCCTGGAGGCCCTTCTGCTGCACAGCCCTGGTGTCCATCCCTTCTCCAACATTTTAATGGCTGTTTGGGGGCATAAATGATTGCCCCTTCCCCTCTGCTCCCCAGCCTTGTCCCCGAGAGAGGTACAGGACATGGAGGAACTTCAGTATTTCCTTCTTTGTCTGTTTTCAAACTGGTGTCACTCCTGTGGGAGCTGTGGGTTATGCTGGGAGCAGTTCTGGGGGCTTAGGCCTCCCCAGCTCCTGACTCTACTGCCTGATCAGCCCAATCCACAGCTCCTTCAGCTCCTGACGGGTTCCTCTGAGGTCTCCACACAAGCTTCTCTTGTCCAGGCAAAGTTCTTCAGCCTTCTCTTCTCTTGGGTGGGTTTGTCACTTGACCAACAACCCAATTGCCCCTTCCCTCTGCTGATGCTCTTCCTTCTCTTTTTCAGGGAGCCCATTGGAAAGAAGAGGTCTGGTAAGAACTCCTTTCTTCTCTGCTGATTACACCAACTCCTCCTTTCACCCACAGTTGCCACCACCTCCTGTACTGGAGCAAGGGCCCAGCCCCATGCAACCAACCCCCTGCTGTGCTCCCCTATGGGTTTCCCAACACGGTGTGCCCCCTCCACCCCCCTGGGATCTCACTACAGCCTCCCATTCCCCATTCCATATCCCCTGTGGTGCACATGAAGGTGGCTTAGATGCCCACAGCTCTACACTGCTCTGGCCTCCCCTTTCACTCATGGAGTTGTTGCCACCCCCAAGGTCATTCCCCACCTCATGCCTTGTCTTCCCTGGTTTTGTTCCTCCCTCAGGGTTTATCCAGAGAACATCCTCTTTCCTGCAGAGAGGTACTAACACTACTTACCTCCCTTTGCTCTTGCTTTGCCTTCTGCTGGGGAGACACCCTGCAAGGAGCTGTCACACCTGCTCTAGCTTTCTGTGGTTGCTGGTGGACATGGGATGGTAGCAGAGTGGAGGTGCAGAGTGCTGGGGCTGGGGCTCGGCTGAAGGTCTGCAGGGATGGGGATTCAAAGTTTCAAAGGTCCAGAGGAATGACCAAGCTGCCTGGTGGTCAGTGTGAGGTGGAAAGTCTTTCCATGCAGTTCTGCTTCCTGATGGCACCAGCTGGAGCCTTTGGGAGGATGGCTGGGTCTGGGATGCTCTACCTCTGCCCCTCATAGAAGGGAACATCTCTGAAAGACCTAGTTGATGGGTTTTAAGGTTATCTGAGCTTCCCAGAAAGAGGAGAAGGAGAGATGAGTAGAAGAGCCTTTGATCTGTGGACTGGGGAGGTGTCTTTGAACTACAGAATTCTTTGGGAAGGAAGGTTTGAGCCTTGGCTGGATGAAGATTGTGCTGAAATAGGTTGTGGAAAGGGTTTTGGCCAGAGAGTTGGCACTGCCATAACGTGTGTGAGCAAATTCACTTGTGGGTGAGTGGGTTGCTCTTGGAGGAGGGAGAAAAGGTACAGAGGAGACTCAAAGACTTGATTCCACTTCCTTTTCCACTGGAGCTGCAGGTTATCCTTCCTTCAGTGTTCCGATGCCTTCACTGAGACTAGTTGTAGAATGCAGATGGAAAGCTCTGATGTTGTCAGCTTGAAGTGGCTCCTGGTTTGGGCCTGTTCTCACAGGCAGGTCATAGCTGGATGCTCTCCTCTTGGTCTAACAGGGTATTACCAGGATGGTTAAAACCTTTGGACAACAGTTTCTCCTCATCTCTCAAAGCAGGACATTGGGATGGTCATGTTAAAGCTCTCAGAGCCATTTGCAAGCACAGAGTGTCTTTCTTGCTCTGAAGTGGTAGGTTTGGAGGCAGAGGGAAGCATCTGGCTTGGGTGGGGACAAAAACAGGCTGAAATTTTCCTTCTCTCTTTTCTAAAACAAATTTAAAGTAGAGATAGAACCTCCCTCATCCTGAGACCTCTTGTGTGCTGCCGCAGC